CCTCAGGAGGAGAATATTAGAAGGATCCACCACTTTTAAACTTACTAGAGGTCCACATTACATTCATTACTACATTTTCCCAGAGTCACCCTCTGGGGGAGATGGGCAGCATATAAATTTAATAATAAATAAAATAAATAAAATAAATTACATTATGGTTAAACAGCAAACCAGGATTATGTTTGACAATAAATGAATGAATGAATGAATGAATGAATGAATGAATGAATGAAATTAGATCATTTTTAATGCTAACCAGAACCCATTTGCATTTGGTCACTACAGGGAATTCTTATCCATTTAAAAATAGAAGGAAAAAGTTCAATCAAGTTTGTCAGAAGAGAAGAAAGGACTATTCAAGCTCATATCTAATGTTTATCACTATATCCCCTTAAAAAGGCCCATTTTGGAGGTCTACTTTTGGACTTCTAAACATGCAGTTTTTGAAAAGTCTATCTTACATACATAATACTTTCATCCATATTCTGTAAAAACATCCACATTTCTGTAAACATACATGTCTCTTGTATATGTTCCATAAGACATATGTGGGATACAACATTCAATCTAATGTAAAACAGTGTGTGTGTGTGTGTGTGTGTGTGCGTGCGCGCGTGTGTGTACACATATATACAGCAAGCACTTTTTTTCTTGAAAGGAATTGCATGTATGAATAACAATTATGGGAAAGATTATACTTTTATTCCAATTTCTTGCTTGTAGGCTTAGAAACTTTAAAAAGTAAACCTTAATATCAGAAGAATGTAACACAGATTCTGGAAAGAAAGCTTTCAAAATAATAATAATAAAAAAGGCAGTCTTCCATTTGTTATGAACTATTCCTGCTCTATTGGTCCCATAGAATAAGAATAACAAATTATTACAATGCTATCTTTTCCAGGATATGCTTTATTTGTTTAGCAGTATGAAAAATTTCAATTTATAGAGCAACCTTAATTTGGCAAAAGTAAGTAAAACTGACAAGAGAGAAAAATGGCTACAGATTTTTGGGTAAATGATTGCAGTATATCAATGTGTCCAATTAGATGTAAAAAAGTCACAGCATGTCATGTACTAAAGGGACACAGTGCTAATTTATATGGAATTTCTGAGTACAGTTTATAGAGAAAAGTTATTACTAACAAGAACATGTTATCTATGAAGGAGAAATCCTAACAATGTAATCACTCTCTTTCTGGCCTCTCATTTTGTCCTAAAAGTAAATGAGTCAAAATATATCCTTGGGAGTGTTTGCTGTTCTGTGGAATACAAAGAATAGATATCTTCAGTTAGTAGGCCATGGAACAATTCTATAATCTATCCATCACACAATATTTTATGTTTTAAAAATACTATCAGCTGTCTTAGATCATTCACTACAATACTGGACTTCAATCAATTGTATTCACTATATAACTGAGTGTTTGCTATGTGACCATTATTGTCTGAATTGTTGCAAATTATTTTATCTTTAGAAAAGACAATGTTGATGTGAATAAACAAATCACAATAAAATAAAATAATCAACAGGCATTCCAGATGTCCAAAACAATAGTATTCTCTAGAAATAAGTAGAACTATTCTAGTATTAATACCAGAAATATGTAGTGCTATTATATATAGGAATTCTCATTATACAAATTCATTGAATTGCTTGACCAAGTAATTCAAGATACATGTGTACATGGAATATATTATTGTAGCCTAAATAAGACATAGTAATTAATTAAAACAGAAAAATTCCTTTCACCCAAGTGGAAATCATTATGTAAATTAAATTTTCTCTCAAATTGCTGTGATTTGGTTGTGAGGGCAGAAGAATGAGGAATATAAACAATTGTTGCAGACACACTCACACAAACAACTATAGAGCTGTAAATGTTAAAATGCAAGTGTTATTTCTGGTCAAGGTGAATATTCATGCTTAGTCTAGGTTTTGCTGACTAAGGAGCAAAAGTCAAGCTAAAAAGAACTGTAAATCATTTCCTTTTCAGTATCTTTTGAACAGCATACAACTTTCAGTGGCAGAAGCTGATTGCATGATGTAAATAATTTCACAATACCCATGTATTAGCATAATATTTCTATGGAAGATGAAAGAAGCTTTTCATTTTAAGTTTCATTATAAACTATATTTGAAAGGTTTATTATATATATACAGGATATGTGAGCTAAATTTATGATAAGTTACTGTTACTGTCCTTTGATCTACAGAACTCAGTAGAGAGGGAAGCATGATAGCTCAGTTGTATTTTGTGAATTCAGATAACTTCAAATAAAGATCTATAGTATAGTTTTTGCCATAAACTTTGTTTCACACTATAGACAGCTGCCATGAAATATGCAATATGTTAACACAGGGATTATGCCAGAAATGAAATGCTGTAATTGCTTTCCTCTCTTATCTTGGAGGAAGATATAGTAGCAGAGGCATTTCTAAGAGCCCCTCCTGCAGGTGTTTTCTTACTCAGAGTTCAGATCTGTATGAGTTTAGTCTTTTTTTACTTACCAGTTTTGGGTCTAGCAAATCCAGGTGTTTGTAAACATCTGTGGATTCTACAAATTCCAGGTGTTTCTAAACTAGCTAGATATGTCTCAGATCAGATCAGTGTCAACTTATTTAATTCATCTGAACTAAAGCCAGATTTAAATCTCCCAGATACACCTGCATTAGACAGACTTAATCCACTCCTTTATATAGAATTAAAACAGTACAATATTCCTCAAAATATTGCCAATCAACTCAGAACATTTTCTTTTTCATAGCTTTCCTTTCACCTCAACCACCTTTTGTATGATTTCAACATGTTCTTTAACAGGACATATTTTCCCAATTCTCTGAACTTCTGTTAATGAGAAGTTAATAAGTTAACATTAACAATCAGCATAAAAAACCATGTTGTAACAAAAATAGGTAACTAAACATAGGATATAAATTCATGGACAATTAAGTTATCAATAACTATTAGTTATTATGGATATTAATTGCCTCCAATATTTTTTTTAAAATGCTTCTAAACACTGGAGGTCTGTTGCATTGATACTATCTTTGGTGGTTTCATGGATGTTTCTAGTTGGCCACTGCAGCATACAGAATGTCGGACTGGACAGGAGTTTTATTTGATCCAGCAAGGGCTATTTTTGTTCTCATGAATTCTACAACTTTCTCTTTCTTCTGTTTACCTTCCTATCAGATAAGTAATTTATGAAAGGAAAGAAGGATGAAATGAAGTTTAGTTCCTCAACTTTCCCTCCCCCATATATCAGTCTTAAAATGGGAAAATATATGAAAGCATTAACCTTTTTTAGGGGTGTCCTCTAAAATTCAAGGTTGTCTTCCTTTTGGAAAGGGCCATCCTTAGCAGTAAAAAGCTCTGTCTTGGCCCTGATGAGCTATGCTACAAATTAATTTCTGTCTCCTCCCTTTCTCTGTTACGCTGGCAAAGGCCCAGGCAAAATCTTGGCCCTTGCATGAGGAGGGACACACACCATCTGCT